ATAATAATAATAATAATAATGATTAAGAGTTTTTACAATGGCTTATAAACAATTAAGTTTCTACGTCGTGATTAGTCTTACTATGTAATAAGTGTAAACATATAAATTATAAGTAAAAATATAAGTATGTTTATATATATAATATATATAATAGCATAAATATTTGCATGCAAACCTCTATTTTTCTGCCTTCAACAACTGTTCCGTGAAGATGTTCGCGAGCCTCATCAGCGTCAGCGCTATTCCCAAACGTTACAAAACCGAATCCCTGCATGCAACACACACAACAAAACACATGCAAATAAACAAACTCAACAGAAAATAAATTGTTTATTATTATTACTAAGTAGTAAATTCAATTTTATATAGTTTTTAAATGTTTTTAACTTTAATCTTAAAGAATTCAGATGAAAATTATTTAGTTAAATTTGTTTGGGGAAAGCGAACATTGACGTTCACAGTTAACACTATACAATAATAAAAAATAATAAAAAATAGTACAGTAAATGCTAAGTTAGTCCAGCATTCATTATGTATAGCGTTTCACAAGAAAGTGGAACTTTTAAGCAGTATACATTTTTATTAGCGTTATTGTGCTATTAATTACGTGTCAATGATAAACTAGTGTTAAGTAAAAACATAAAATATTGCGCTACTTATAGCGTTGTGTGAATGCTCCCAAAAATTGTCCATTTTGGATATGGAAAAATGTATAAAGAAAAGGATTTAATACTAAAATCTCACAGTACAATGAAAATCTTCAATAGGCATTTTTTTTATTCATACTGGGAATTAAAAAAAATATTATTTGGAGATAAACTTTCTAGAATATATATTATTTAAGTATAATTTTTATATTTTAGTTATTATTATTAAATTAAAATATTAAAATATTAATTTAAAAATTAAAACCAAAAGTAAATAACCACCCTAGAATAATATGATTTAATATTTATTTTTAAACCCCTTAGGACAAAGTTGTAAAATAATTTATCAATAATAGTTATATTTATTTTTATTTTTTTTAAAGACATATAGATATATTTTTAATTAACTATCTATTTAAAAATTATTTATTATTAAAAATATTATATTTAATTGAATAGTTTTATTATTAAGTCAATGTATTATTTAAAGTTACTTAGCTGCCAAAAAAAGCGTGAATGGTTTATTTATTTATTCAAGATATACATTTTATAGTAATTATAATATTTTAATTGATTCAAATTAACCATAATTACCTTTGATCCACGCTCATTAAATATAATTTCGACATCTAGAATTGGTCCAAATTGCTGAAAAAATAAATAACATAATGTTAAGACCAAATAAACCACAACATTAATTTTACTTTGAAACTATACAAAATATATAAATAAAATAATAATTGAAATAGATTAAAAATTGTATGCAACAGTTGTACATGTGTTGGAATCTAGAAACATTATTATTTTAAACACAAATTTTTTAAAAGCTTACATATGATGAATATTTTTACAACAATACATGAATATTGATGGTTTAGTTTTTGCAATAAAAGTTTATTGTACATTTATTTTGACCCTATATCTTATAAACTTGGATAAGTTCTTAATTTTTAAGTAGTTTTGTGTTTTCATAATTGAATATTTTTAAGATTATGCAGTTTAAAATAAATAAGCTTTCTTGATTTTTAATTCTCTAACGTAATGTACACAACTTTTTACTGAATGAAAAATGCATCTTTCAATATTAAAGAATAGTTAACACAATAAAATAATACATTTTAGGAGTAATTTTTTATTTTTTTCGTGCATATTAAATAAAATTTGAATTAATATTTAATTAATTGTTTACTCAGTGACAGAAAAATGAAAATTTCAGCAAATTTCAACTACGATTTATTGAAGATTTATGTTTCCAAAAAAACATTGATATAGAAATAAATATTTTATGATATACATTGGTATGGCAAAGTGGAAACTCTCCAGAGGCAAAAATATACCAAAGACCAACCTGCTACTACTGATACAAGAATGTGTGAGGAGAATGGCCAACATAAATTGCAAGTATGATTAATGCATAATAATATAATACATCTAATTATATTTTAGATCAATATTAACTACATAATATGGAGTATCATATTCAGTGGCGTAGACAGGAGGGGTTTTGGGTGTTTAAAGTCCTCGCCATTGTCTTTCCACGTCTAATAAATGTATTATTTATATTATTGTATATTCACAAGTTTACAACTAAACTTTGTTCTTGAATAGTTCAATAAGGCAACAAACATAACGAAAACAGAAAAAAAACAAAGTTTAATTTTCACTTAACCCTCTTCAACTCGTAAAATCCTGGCTACGCCACTGATCATATTACATTTAGTATTTGAAAACCCAACAACCATCATCCAATCCCATTTTTAAAAAAAAAATCTCTGTAACAATTACCTTTGAAGTAATTGTTTGTCACGCCAATGGTGAAATAAATTATTGTAATAATGTATATACTTATCAAAATATGTTAAAAACTATTTAAATACACGGTATATAGCAGTAAAATTATATATTACGTATATTTGTTAAAAAATTTTAAGGTAACAAAAATGTAATGAAAAATTACTATTAAAAAGTAACCTCTAAAATATAACGCATAACTATTTTAAATATTAAAAATAAAAATTATAATTTTTTATTGATCAGAAAAAACTACTATAAATATTTATAATAACTAATAAATATATTATTTTAAATTTAAATTTATCTCAATTTAGTTTTTTAACTTTTGGATAACACATTTACTTGCATTATATTTATTTAGTTTACTGTTGTCGAAATACATTTTTTTTTCAATTTTTTTTAACATATTGTTCAAGTTATACTCATACATTACTTTCATTTACATTGATTTTTGATAGACTTTGATAAGAAATTAGAGAAATAACTATGTGCTAGTTAAATTTTTTGAATTTTTGTAAACTAAAAGTAACAAAGTTACTCTTATTATTGAAGAGTAAATTCATTTTATTAGAATTATACTTGAGTAACAAGTAAAGTAATTTTTTTACTTAATTAAAATATACAATACTATGTTGTTGTTTTTCATGTATAAATTGTTTTATTTAATTTAATTTTCTTTTACCTAAATATTTTATTTTTATTTTTTCAGTTCATAAATCGGAAAATAATAAATATTATTCTCTTACATTAAATTATGTTATCTATTACAATTAATCATATAAAGTAAAAATTAACTATTATTTTTATTTGTTTTTCTTGGAATTTTATTGCATTGTAAAAAATATTTTATTTATGAATAAAAGAATATTTTGATTAATTTTCAGAGCTTAAAAACATCTTATTTTATCATTTTAGCGCATTAAAATTAAGTCTTTAACTATAAGTTAGAGCATTAAATTTAAATAAATTTGTATACAACAAAACACAAGCAATATATCAAAGTAATTATAATTAGATATGTTTATATAATTGATATACAGGACATTTAGCAGATAAAAATCAACATCATAATTTTAAATTATATTAATCAAACAAAATATTATTTAATTACCCCAAACATGGCACGCAAATCAGGCTCTCTAAATCTAAAGGGTATATTTGATACATGAAGTCTCTTTGATTGGATATTTTTGTCTTCGCTAGATGAACAAGGGGACCCAGCTCCAACATTGGTAATGTTCGTTGGTGAGGCTACAGATACTGACACAGGTGTAGTCAATGCATTTGTGGCATTAGTACATTCCAACTATACATCACAAAAAAAAAAAAAAATATATGACAAAATGAACTAGCTGTTTCTGGATTATACAAAAAAATATTACTAATAGGCCATTACAGAGTGAGTGGAAAATGTTATTAGCAAATCATCCAATTGACCAAAATATTAAACCTTAACCCAAATACTTACCGGTTGTGATACTGTAGTGACTGTGATTTGTTGTTGTTCAGACTTGATCAATCCAACAGCAGATTGTTGCTGCTGCTGCTGCTGCTGTTGTTGTTGTTGTTGTTGCTGCTGCTGCTGCTGTTGTTGTTGTTGTTGTTGCTGCTGCTGCTGCTGCTGTTGTTGTTGTTGCTGCTGCTGTTGTTGATGTTGTTGATGCTGTTGATGCTGTTGATGCTGTTGATGCTGCTGCTGCTGTTGTTGAGATGCCAGGGACATGTTAAGCCCAGTCGGAGGTGAGTATGCAATTGGCGGCAATGGTGGATCATTTTCTACAGTCACCTGAGGTGGAAGTGGAGCTGTATTTTGAGGTGCAGCCACCGTAGCAGGCATTAGAGTTGGTTGTTGAGGATTGGCCATCTTAAGTGTCATTGCAGCCATTTGTCCGGGTTGTTGCATAGGGAATGCACCAGACGCTGCCGCGAGTGATGCATATGGATCAATTCCTCCTTGAACCATTTGCTGTAAACATAATGGTAATTCATTATTATTTTTTAGAAATCATTGATATTGTAAATAATATAATATTACAATTAACTACATTATTTTTGGTGAAAATGTTAGAGTACAACTAATTGTTTAATTTTAAAGGTTAGATATTTAAAAACATTTTTTATCAAGTTATTTTCATAAATGCTAATCAAAGATAAATGCCTAACAACCTAATTTGTTAAAATGCATTTCACAAAAAATATAATGTAGGACCTCTGTGCTTAACATCAATACTTGCATCAATATGACGACTATAGGTAGCAAATATATGTAATGAAAGGGTTAGAAGCCCTGGTCAAGTCCATACGTGTTCAAGAGACTCCCCTCCCATAACATAAATCTAAATCAAATCATTGTTACATTTATTTAGATTGTGTAATATAAACATGAAACAAAAATTTTATACATATTGTATTAAAAAACGGTACAGAAAAAGTTTAAGTCAATTCGTCAGCAAAAAAAACATTTAAAATGTTACACATAATAATATTAATCGTATTCATAAAGCAATGATATGGCTAATATTAATATATAAATCAACTCCTCGCTGTTGTGGATTTTTTGAAAACGAAATTTTAAATATTTTTGTGAATAAAAAACGGGTGGAAAATATAATGACACAGAGATATGACATCATCGTAATTCTTCATCATAATTATCATCACATACATACATCTGCAGTGATGTAAGTCGACTGTACATACAGTACCTGACCTGTATAGACGTAGTGTATAATAAATACACAGTAATTTGGTTTGGCACAAAACTAGGTAGTTTCAGGTTGTATATCATGTGTGTACGATAAAAACTTTTACATGACTCCGGAAAGTATAGATTGTGTATCCAACCACAAGGGCAACAAGTAACATCAAAATATTATTATAGCCATACACTCAATACTTATATGTAAAATAAATACGTACTATATGAATATAAATATACAATATCATTGAGAAGAAATCGACTATAGATAATACTCCCGTGATCGTTTATAAGACGTGATGATAATATATTATGCAAGACAATCAGCAGGTCAGAACTCTATAAATATTAATTATTTTCTTATGTAAAAATACAAAACAAAGAAAAAGTTATAGAATTAAAACATTCTTTAGAATTAAGGTTGAGTTGAGTTAGAGATTGATTGTATAAAATCATAAACTCAATTACTATTTGTCGTAATCAAAAAAACAGTTATCCATAGTTTAAACTTATAACAATACACTTTTATACAAAATTAAGAAATAAATTACAATCATTACAGTAGCCCTTTAGCCCTTTAGTACTTTATTTCACTCATCTATGAATTCAATATAAATTTAAATTATAAAATAAACTATTTATTCAATATTTTATATTAATGCTTTTTTTAAAACATTTACCTACACAGTTATTGTAACATAAAAAATTTAAATAACTATTTAATTCTTAATTAACTTTCAAAAATTACGCTAAAATTTCCTTTTATAAAAAATGATTACTGCAGATTCGAACGAAATATTATATTCTAGGACCTAAGTATTGAGCTAGAGATTATAAGTGAATCTTTTTAATCATAGTTAACCTAAACTAACAATATTTTATTTAATAGGAGGAATACATTTTTATTTTATTCTACCTACTGCCAAATACCTACACGCATTAGTCTGTTATGACAGGAAACTAGTCATGTTTGTAGGCCCATCTTCAGCGCAAGGAGAATTTTGGTACAATAATACGTATTTACTACAGCAACAATCCCGCGGAGAGATGGAGCGAGAGCCTCGGAATATATCATTATATTTATGGACGGACTAAGCTACGGGTCCATGAACAAAAGTGGAGCCAGAGCATAAATAGGTGTGTAGAACGGGTATAAATGCCACACGGGTTTCGGGCCAGCAACCAGTTTGACGTACAACAGTTGAATACTAATTATTGCGGATATGTTATTATTGTATATATATATATATATAATGTTGTTTTAGGACGAGGGCATATGAATACATACCGACAAATTAAACGCGTGTGTTCGAGACTAGACCGATAATAGATATATTATAATAATATAATGTGTGTACATAGGCATCAAAGTTTCTCCAAAAAAATTACATAACTTAGATTTTTAAACGGAGAACTAGTATGACGATGGCCATATTCGTGTGGTGCGTGAAAGCGGTAAGATATTCGTGACCAAACCGCGCGCGCGAGTGAGGTTCTTCCTATAAACGCACGCGCATCTCGTGTATTACGAGAACCTGTATTTTACATATTTCGCAACAATCCTGATTGATAAAAAATAGAAAATGAAAAAAATCGTCAATTGTTTTCTTTGGACAGACGTTTAATGCTTTGTTGAGAATAAGTAACCAAGATGCGAATGTATGTAAACGACATGAGTGTAGTGTAGTATGCAACTACTCGAAGGACTTGTCTATTTTTTACATTTCGTCGTGCACATCATAATAAATAAGTACTTTACTATACAGCATTATAGTGTATACAGTAGTATAATGAACAACATAATTCGTGGAGGGAAAAAACGACGGAGCAGTGGAGGGGGGGATTTCGCTGGAGCGGAGAAAACTTTGGTCTAATGAGGATGTACTGTGAGATGCATTGTGTGCATTGCACCGGGGCCAATTCGGGGGACGCTTCTGTAGTGGTGGGGGATGACCATTGTTGTAATAGTTCATCGACGACGTTGGAAAAAAAAATATAAAATATAAATACACAATATACCATTATAGGTATAGTAGAAAAAAACCAAATATTATATTGTAAAATGCTGCGGGCTAGTATATAATACATAATAATAATATTATGTATACAACGTTTTTGTGTCGTTCGACAAGTGGCTACATCCTATGAGAAAGCGAGCCATATTACGCCGACGTGGCCGAGCCCCGTTTGTACGTTGGGATAATATTATTGAGTTAAATTGATGTTTATTGTCGGCTACACGTACATAGCCGTCACTGACAATATTAATAATAATATAAATGATTCGTTAAAAACGAACGCGAACGAGATAATAAACGTACGCGTACATATATCAACCCGTGGGACGACAGCATTTGTGCGTGCACGCGATTACAGAGCTTGGCAAACGCGTACTGAAACGCTCAGAAGATTTTTTTTTTTATAGCAATACTAAATTTAGACAGAATTTATTGTCCGCGCGATAGCGAAGCGGGCTTCAAACGCGAGACCTGTTGAGTTGGTACATCAGGGCGCAGTGGCTTTGTTCCCGCATCATCGTTTCTGTTGGCTGTGCAGCCCAAATCACAATACTACGTTATGGGTTACTATAATATTTTTCTCAAGCATTTTACAGCAACCACAGCGACATAAAAATCGGGCAGCTCTTTCGTGACGAATCGAAATAACATTATATTATTTTGTTTCCTTCTCGTCCTCGTATAATCGTGCCGGAGCCCCCCTCATATCAGGCCGAACTTAATTGAATTTAGTCGTATTCTCCCATTCTCGGCAATGCCGAGTATAGTATAATATTATATTGTATGAAATGTACATTTTAAAAATTTTAATTCTTTCATAGCGTGACGCTAAAAGTACAATAGCGGCGAAATACAAGGCAGTAATAAAATTAATGGACACTATTATATTATTAATATACCTATAATCGAAAGGCCATCAAATTAAAAAGCTGTAAAATATTGAGCAATTATATACACATGAATTCCACTTCACACGCAGTCGTTTATACACAACTTAATAATTAAATAGACATTTTTCAAGCTGAATACATTGGTGAATTCTATACTATTTATTACTATTGTAAATAAAGTATTAAAAATCCTAATGGGCTATGCCACATACCAGTACCATTGTACCAATATACGATTAATTTACATTTATAAATAAAATAAAATAGTCCACGACTACACTGTTAAGTGATCATCATTTAATGGTTTATAAAAGAACATATCAAAACAACAGGGCAGTTATTGATTTTATTTGGTATAGATGATTAAAAAATAAACCTAAAAAAAATTTAAAAATTATTCAATATTTTTTCCAAATTAAATGTGGGTATCTAGTAGACCACATAAATATTAATAGTATTAGTGTAAAATGGTAGGATGATGATCATAATACAATACATGCTATCAAGTATCAACGTTACTTGTTCAAACCCAAAAGACTAACTCATTAAAATATTACTTTCTAACATTGTTCACAATCACGGAATAATTAGAATAACGATATTGTTTATCAGTCATTATTCATTTTTATCAAACTAACTTCACCTCTTAAGGATGATATACCAAATATCTTTACAATGAATTTATATTGTTATCGAAATTAAATTTATTAGCCATGTTAAAAACATAAATGTGAACATTAGTTACATATTATGTAAAGTAAAGACTATTATTGTTGTATAAAATATTTATTTTTAACAAAGGTATTTTGAAAAAATAACTGCATGAACGTAGACTTTAAACATTTTATCAGAACAAAAAAATATAACTTGGGAAAATAAATTACTTAACTACAATGTTAAGCCTGTAAACAAATTAGGTGAGTATTTATACACCAGTATCACACAGTTTGAGTATATTATGATATAAGATATATTATTCAATAATTGGTTTTAACACGAATAAGTTCCCTTAGGATTTGTACTTGCTTTATTCGTCAATAATAAAAATTAATCAGCATACAGCACAATATATCCATACAATACATGTATATTAAAATAGAAAATTTAAAAGAAATATTCACTGAAAACACCAAGTGTAATGAAGTATTGGCAATGGGATGTATTTATATACTCATAAATGAAATGAAAATACTTGCCAAATTATGCGAGTTAAAGTGTTCTAACGAGGCCTTAAAGTTTTAAAAATAATTCGTACATAAATGGTTGCCATTCCATTCAAATTTCAAGCCATAATACGTCTAATTTAATTTATAACCTGCACGATATAACAGTAATTTATAAATTGAAACTATAATAGAGG